TGTGGCCCCGCCCACTGTCACACACAGAGCCGCAAGGCAATCAGGGGGTTTGGGAGCTGCCGCCATCACACTGATCCCGGTGCCAGGAGGCCTCGCAGCTACACTGATTCTGGTGCTGGGAGGCATATTACCCTTTTACTATATAGGATAGAGGCCTGGTGCATGGGTGGGGGTCAGCTGGTTTGCCTTGAAGGGTGTCCCGTATCAGGGTGGGGGACCCCACTGGGGTGCCTGGCCACTCTGGGTGAGGGGATGATGGCTGTTTGCAGTTGGTCACACACCCTTCAGGGCGGGGGTCCCCACTGTGGTGCCTGGCCAGTCTGGGTGAGGGGTTGAGGGCTGTTTTCAGGCTGGCGGGTGACTGAAGCTCCCAACCTGTCCTTTTTTTTCTTTTTTTTAATTCTGGGCCAGCTTTAGCTCTGAGGCTTGGCTGCAGCTCTTAGGTCTCAGCTGCTGAAAGCAGGTATCTGGTTTGTTTTGGTTCTATAATCAAAACACTGTTTCAACTCCAGCTCTGAGATCCCGGCTGGCTGAAAGCAGGTTTCTGGGTTTTTGTTTAGCTTCTATATTTGTAACAATGTTCCAAACTGCAAGCTCAGAGGCCAGCAGCAGCAGGCGAGGAACGTTGGAGTCCTCCGTCACTGAAGCAAGCAAGCAAGCCTCATGTTCGCTTCAAGCTTCCTGGCTTCTGGCCGCTATCTTGGCTGGTAGTTAATTTGCATATCGCCCTGATTAGCCAATGGGAAGGGTACCATGTTTCTCTTTTATTAGATAGGACTAGAAGCCTGGTGCACAAAAATTTGTGCACTGGGGGGTTGGGAGGGAGGGTACCTCAGCCTGGCCTGTGCCCTCTTGCAGTCTGGGACCCCTCAGGAGATAAGGACCTGCTGGCTTAGGCCTGCTCCCTGGTGGCAGAGGGCAGGCCCAATCCCTAGGTGCAGCCCTTGGTCAGGCTCAGAGCAGGGCCGATTAGGGAGTTGGGGCGGCGCCCGCTGTCATGCACAGAGCAGGGTGGATCGGGAGGTTGCGATGCCACCCTCAGTCACGCTCAGGGTAGGGCCGATTGGGGGGTTGGGACACCGCTCCGTCACACTCAAGGCAGGGTCGATGGGGAGGTTGCAGCACCACCCCTTGTCATGCACAGAGCAGGGCCCATCAGGGGGTTGGGGAGCTCCCCCCGTCATGCACAGAGCAGGGCCCATCAGGGGGTTGAGAGCTCCCCCCGTCACTCACAGAGTAGGGCCGATAGGGGAGTTGGGGCACCCCCCCGTCACACACAGAGCAGGGCGGATCAGGGGGTTGGGGCGCCGCCACTGTCACACTCAGTGCAGGGCTGATGGGGAGGTTATCGCCCTACCCCATCACACACAGAGCAGGACCTGTGGGGGGGTGGGCAGGGCGCCACACCCTGTCACACACAGAGCAAGGCCAATCAGGGGGTTGTGGCCCCGCCCCCTATCACACACAGAGCCGCAGTGTGATCAGGGGGTTGGGCAGCTCCCCTGTATCAGGCACAGAGCAGGGCTGATCAGGTGGTTGGGGTGCCTTCCCCTGTCATGAACAGAGCAGGGCGGATAGGGAGGTTGTGGCCCCACCTCCTGTCACACACAGAGCCGCAGGGCGATCAGGGGTTTTGGGCGCTGCCCCCTGTCATGCTGATCCCGGTGCTGGGAGGCCTCACGGCTTCGCTGATCCCGGTGCTGGGAGGTATATTACCCTTTTATATATAGGATAGAGGTCTGGTGCATGGGTGGGGGCTGGCTTGTTTGCCCTGAAGGGTGTCCTGGATCAGGATGGGGGACCCCACTGGGGTGCCTGGCCAGCCTGGGTGAGGGGATGATGGCTGTTTGCAGCTGGTCACATACCCTTCAGGGTAGGAGTCCCCACTGGGGTGCCTGGCCAGCCTGGATGAGGGGATGATGGCTGTTTGCAGCTGGTCACACACCGTTCAGGGTGGGGGTCCCCACTGTGGTGCCTGGCCAGTCTGGGTGAGGGGTTGAGGGCTGTTTTCAGGCTGGCGGGTGACTGAAGCTCCCAACTGTCCCTTTTTCTTTTTTTTTTGTTCTGTGCCAGCTTTACCTCTGGCTCCAGCTCTGAGGCCTCTTCTGCTGAAAGCAGGTATCTGGTTTGTTTGGGTTCTATAATTGAAATACTGTATCAACTCCAGCTCTGAGATCCCGGCTGGCTGAAAGCAGGTTTCTGGGTTTTTGTTTAGCTTCTATATTTGTAACAATATTTCAAACTGCAAGCTCAGAGGTCGGCAAGGCAGGCGGGGAACGTTGCATGAAGAGATTTGTGCAATAGGCCTTCCCTTCCCCTGGCTGCCGGCACCGGTTTTCCTCCAGCACCCGGGACCCAGGCCCTCACTGCTCTGGCTGGAGCCTTCAGTCTTTGCTCTGCCATTTCATGCCTACATATGCAAATTAACCGCCATCTTTGTTGGGTTAATTTGGCTGTGAGAGTAGCAGAGGGATGGTCAATTTACATGTTTGTCTATTTTTAGTTAGGATATGTATATATAAATTATATATATATTTATATGTATATAATATATAATACATATATATAATTTATCATAAGGAATTGGTTCACACAATTATGGAGGCTAAAATTAGACGATCGGCTGTCTGCAAACTGGAGACCCAGGAAAGCCTGTGGTATAATTCAGTCTGAGTTTGAAGCTAATAAATCCAAGTTCAAGGGTAGGACAAGGTGAGATGAGGCATCCAGCTCACGTTGTGAGACAGAAAAAAGAACCAAATAACTTTTTTCTCTGCCTTTTGCTCTTTCTGTACAGGCCCTCAGGATTAGATGATGTCCATATATCAGGGAAGGCAATCTACTTTACTCAGTCTACAGATCCAAATACTAATCTCATACAGAAGCACCCTCACAGACATATCCAGAAGTAACATTTAATTTGGTCACCCCATGGCCACCCAAGTTGACATAAAATTAGCTATCATATCTTCTTATTTTCCATTTCTATTGTCTCTGAGTTCCCAAGCTACCTCATTAAATGTTTCTTAAGCATCAGTGTCTTTTTTAAAATGTATTTTTATTTATTTCATAGAGAAAGGAGAGGGAGAGAGAGATAGAAACATCAATTATGAGAGAGAATCATGGATCAGCTGCCTCCTGTATGCCCCACCTTGGGGATCTAGTCCGCAACCCAGGCATGTGCCCTGATTGGGAATCAAGCTGTGACCTCCTAGTTCATAGGTTGACACTCAACCACTGAGCCATGTCAGTTGGGCAGCATCAGTTTCTGTTTATCTTGTCATGGAGCTGCCTCCAAATCCGTATCAGTGGAAAGTAAATTAAAAAATAAGATTAGAGTTTTTGCTTAATTTATTTTGTAACTGAGGCATAGAAAGTCACACAGGACAAAAATTTACTTATCTACGTCTTTCTGAATCTAAAGTTTGTGTTCTAACTATTAGTTTCCACCACCTCTTAATAACTGAAGCTGAGAAAGTTTATTTTGCTTATTTTTAATAATGTCACTGTAGCAATAGCAACACATCTTTGAATAGCTGATCTGTGATATTCACTTGTAAGACATTTTTTTCTGCCATCTTTTCATTCTCGAAGCAATGTTTATTGAGCACCAACTTTTATGGTTCTGGTGTTGAAGTATGTACTTGGAATTCAGTTATATTCAATGATTAAAAAGACAGAATCTGTGCTCTTAAGGAGTTGTTAGGAGAGATGGAGATGGGATATAAAAGTAAGCTGCCATTGCCATAAGTGCTTTTTTAGAGGAAATGAGGCAGGGGACAAATCATGAGGAACTTGTTCACTATTCCATGACTTTATTCCTTGGAGGATGTGGCATCAGCAAAGGGTTTTTAATTACAGAAGTGAAATGAAGAGATGGGCACTTTGGAAAGATGACTAGCTGTGTGCATCATGGAATTAATATGTTAGTGTGGTCTAGAGAGGCAAGTTTTGCAGCTGTTGCAGTAATAATCTGGGTGAGAGATGATTGAGGTCTGAATTGAGAGATGGTGGGGAGATGAGAAAAGGGACAGATTCCAAAGATGTCATGGAGGGAGAAATCATAAAATTTGATGTTGCAGTTGAAAAAGAAGGAAGAAGAGGTTAACCCCCAAGCCTATGAAATGAACAACTTGATGGATAATTATACTTTTTTTTTTTTAAAAAAAGAAAGAACAGCATATTTTGAGGAAAGACCATTGTCTTTCTATTTAGTAAATATGTACCTATATTTTAGCAAGGTAGACTGTCCAGTAGAAACTTGAATATAAGAATTTGATCTATAAGAAAAGATGGATTGACCAGATAGACTTGAGGTCCAAATGTAATTAATGAAATGGTGAGCTCAGATGACTTAACTTTAATTGCATGGTGTGTAATGGTGGGGAGGAGGGAAGAAGAGAGGTTTTGAAGTTTGGGAACTTTTCTTTCTAATTCTTTTCCTCTTGATGTTCCTTTCTTTTTTATTTTTAAATATATTTTTATTGATTTCAGAGAGGAAGGGCGAGGGAGAGAGAGATGACCAGTTGCCTCCCGCATGCCCCCTACTGGGGATCGAGCCCGCAACCCAGGCATGTGCCCTGACCAGGGATTTAGCCTGAAGTTAATTGTCTGTGCAGTTGTGATAGTGATCAAAATGAGACAAAATAAAAGCAAGTTATTTAGTTTAAAGAAAAGCAAAATTGTTGTCTACTGCATAGTGTGTCACACTAAAAGGATTCCCAAATTGCCAAGTGCTCTTTTCATCTGCTGCCTGCTGTCATTCTAACTTACCCTCTATGTACTGGGGATTTCCAGATGGCATCTGCACTGACGTCTAGATTGATAATTGCAGAAAACTCACTACATTTCTTTCTTCTTTTTAAGACATTATATCTTTCCCCTGCCTCAAATTAGAGATAAAGTCTTGGTTTAAATCGAAATTCTGACAGAAGTTTAAAAGCTCATGGGGCAGTCTGAACGCGCCCTCTCTCCAACGCCAGGGAGACCCTCAGTCCCTCACCCTGAAGCTCCCCATGACCATCAACAAGTTCTTCCAGCCAACAGAGATGGCGGCCCAGGACTTCTTCCAGCGCTGGAGGCAGCTGAGCCTCCCCCACCAGGAGGCGCAGAAAATCTTCAAAGCCAACCACCCCATGGATGCTGAAGTCACGAAGGCCAAGCTCCTGGGGTTTGGCTCTGCTCTCCTGGACAGCGGGGGCCCCAGCCCTGAGAACTTCGTGGGGACTGGGATCATCCAGACTAAAGCCCTGCAGGTGGGCTGTCTGCTCCAGCTGGAGCCCAATGCCCAGGCTCAAATGTATCCGCTGACCCTGCACACCATCAAGGAGCCTGTCTCCATTCAACTGTGTGAGCTGCTGGCCCAGCAGTTCTGAGCCCTGGACCCTGCCCCCGGCTCCAGGAAGCCCCTAGGACTGAGGGAGCTTTGGTGGATTGGAGCAGTGAGGGGACCTCCACTGGTGACAGGGAAGACCCCACGGTAGGGGGATGCCTGGGACTTTCCTCTGGGAAGTCTCCTTCCTCGCTTCCCCAACCCAAGCACAGAGGGGAGAGGGGCCAGGGAAGCAGGGGCCTCCTCCCCTCCCTTCCACCCTGTTGTGGCCCCTCCTGCCCCCCCCCCGCCCCCATCTAGGGGCTGTATATTATTGTGATCCAATAAACAGAAAGACCCAAAAAGAAAAGCTTATGGGGCAATAAAATGCAGTTAAAAAAAGAATGAAAAAGAAAAGAACAAAATTTAAAATGTCTTATCTATGTAAAGAATTAGCAGTGCATACAATATGTGGTTACTGAGTTTTAGAATCATGCTTATGCACTTGTGTGATATTTTCTGCTAAATATTTATTGATTAATGTGCACTCCAGCCAACTTAAGAGTTAAGATTGGGAAATCAGGGTCAATTACTGATTTGTGAAAATAAGCAGTGAGCAGCTAGCATCCAATGATGATAATGGTTTTTTAAGATTTAACCATGCTCTTGGGTACATGGCTTCTCCCACATGGAGTCTCTAGGATTCTATTTTTGCTCTATCTTGAGCTTAGGATGACGATCATGATGAATTGTATCATATTGTAAGGTGGTTTGTGATGAAAAAAATTTCCACCAGGGACTGTAGCACAACTTCAAAACTCACGCTCTGATAAAACACCTAGAAATGTACAATTGTCTCCTCTTCCTTCCCTCTTCCCTTGCTTTTGTTAAAGGCAAAAACAACATAACAGAGAACTAAAATGTGGGTTGGTAACAATAATCTTTTTCTAGGTAGATGTTAAAGTTTCAATGATTTTATCTGTCTATACCTATTTTTTATATATTTATCATCTATCAATCTCATTTTTAAAAATTATTCAGTTTAAAATTGGAAAAAAGTGGGAAATAGGGATTTGAAAATTAGGGATAGGGTAAATTGTCGAGATATGAAAGCTACAGACTTCTTAAAAAATAAATGTCAGTTTTCCTTTCAAAATGGACAACTATACACTAAGACTAAGTTCTCTGTAGATACAGCACAGTGGTTGGCATATTGGTAGATTGCCTTCATCAGCATGGCTAACTTATTTAGCTACTTGAAGACACAGTCATTTTGGGATCAAATGGATCACCTGCCCGTTTGCACATTAAGTCTATTACGTGGTCAAAGGGAACAAAATTGGTCCTCCGAAAGGAAGGAATCAATGACCTGCCATTTTTATTATTAAATCTCTTGCTTTCAACCATTTCAACTATGTGGTATTCTTGCCTTTCTTTTCCTCGGAGTCTACTCAAGACTTTGGTAGATTACTTCTCTGAAATATCTCCACAGTTCTGGAGGAACACTCATAGAGCTCTGGAAACATTGGAAAGCCTCCAGATGCATTTCAGGCTTCTCTATAGATGAATATGGGTCTCCAGGCTATTGTTCAAATGGAAGATACTCCAGTTATATGGCTCTAAAGAGCCTTCAAGAAGGCAGCATGATTATTTTGTATGCCTTTAGAAGAAACAATTTTATATTAGCTGTTGCTTTCTGAATCTTGTTTATTTATTCATTGATTCATTTTTTCTTACAATAGTCATTTACTATGCCTTTTCTGTAATGTATGAACACTGTGTGGATTTACATAGATTTGCATCTCACTCTCCAGGAATTTACAGTCTTATTCTTTCTATCATGCATTTTTATACAAGATCCTAGCCTGTTCTATCCAAATCAGGTACTTGGATTATGAATTTCCTCTATTGGATCAAGTTTAAAACATGTCTGAATAACTAAATATATACCAAAAATTAAATACATATAAAAAATGAGGAGAGAAAGTTACATAACATAGATGTTTATGAAGAGAAGTTATCTGTTAAGGGCTGAATTGTGTCCCTCACAAAATTCAAACATTGAAGTCCTAATGCCTAGTACTTTATAATGTGACCATATATGGAAACAGGTTCTTTTACAGAAGTAATTAAGTTAAAATGAGGTCATTAGGGTTGGCCTCAATCTAATATGACTGGTGTCCTTATTAGAAGAGAGTATTTGGACACACACACACACACACACACACACGATAGTTGTGAAGATATAGGGAAAAGATGGTCATCTATGAACCAAGGGGCCAGGCCTCAGGAAAAACCAACCCTGCCAGTCCCTTGATTTTGGACTTCCAGCCTCCAGAAGTGTGAGAAAATAAATATCTATTGTTAAAGCCACCCAGTCTGTGATACTTTGTTACAGAAATCCTAGCAAACTAATACAGCATGATACTTGGAAAGTCAAAATTAATTATTGAGCAAATGTTGTGTATAAGTCATTACAATAAATGTTGTATAGTAAATATTAATTTAGGCCTTAAGTTGCTTGGAATTTATTTCTCAGATAAGTACAATTCCATATTTGTTTCCTGAAGAACACACACACACTCACACACACACACACACACACACACACACACACGAACCTACAGTCAAGTAGAGAATAGCTTTTATGATTGGAAATACAAATGGAAAAAGTTCAATAATTGTAATGACAATAGCAGCTCTTTATATTTTGTGTCTTCTCTGTTCTGCCGGCTGGGCCATAACACCTATTTTTATCAGTTAGTTTTATTTCTGTTATAGTTAAAGACCTGAGACTCAAAAAATTATCTTTTAATCACCCAAGATCTCATAGCTAGAAGCTCTCATGGCTAAAGGGACAGAATTGGCACTTTCTACTCTTTGAAGGTGTAGCAAATGCTTTCAAAGATCTTCCTGCCCCAAGAAAAGTCTGCTCTGCTTCCCAGGGTTCATTAATGCTGCTGAGTAGACTGGCTCTTTTTATGGTTAACAAGAGCTCTGATATCCATAGTAGCCCGTCAACGCTGGGAGCTGTCATGGAAGAGTTTTCTTCCTCTGGCCTCTCCTAAGTATTTCAGGTCATTAGGAAGTTACCCTTCTTCCTTCCTAATCCTCACTCAGTCACTTGGAGAACAACCCACAACCTACCTCTCCTTTGCCTAACTGCTCTAAAACATTAGGTAGGAATTGTTGCTGAGGTCTTTATAAGGTCACAGCAAGATATGTGAAATAGGCAGGAGGGCCACATATAAATTTGCATAAAATATGCCTTTAATTTGCATTTAAATGCACTGTGATTTGCATAAAAGTCTATTATTATGCCTTTAGAGTATAAATTTTATAATTGTCCTTTTTTAAAGCTGTCACTTATTTTTCATGCCCCCTTTTTCAATTCTTCCCAAGATTTCTGCATTCTTGAGGATGCCTCCCTTCATGACCCAATAAGGACATAATGGAGGTTTCTGGTGCTTTTGCATAAAGAACTCACACAGAGAAATGCTGGCACAATCCTCATTTTCTTTTTCTCACCAGAAAATCCACTGTCACATTTCTCTTCTCATTTTGTGTCTAGTATCTGACTTCATTATAGACTATTAAGCCCATCACTATCAATGAGAAATTGTATGAGGTAGAGTTAAGCAGGAGAAGAAGAGTTTATTTAAGACTATTGCAATGGACGTCAAGATTATTACAATAGAGAGTGAGATAGAATTTTGGTGAAACAAGAGATGGGAGAGTGTTTAAGCCTTGCGGTGAGCCAGTGTAAAACTGCTGGAGGATTTTGATTGTTCAAAGAGATTAGGCATCTTTTAGGTGTTTGCTAACTGGTGCACAGAGACTGGGGAATAGAGGCTCTCTCTTTCCTGATTACATTTTAAAGGGATGGCTCCCAGTTCCTTGAGAAAGACATTCCTGGTTTTAAAATTTGCAAGAGGCAGGAGATTTACATCTCAAATGGGCAGAGAAGGAATTTAAAAGTATGAAGTTTTTAAAGTAATTGTTCTTAGAAAAGGAGGTCAGGGCCCACAGTCAGAAGGACGCCTGTCTAAAGTTTAGCCAAGCTGAGGAGAACCTTAAAGCTCTCTTGGCTGGCACAGACACCTATAAATTCAATCAATTCTTGCATAGGCATCCATTCAGTCCCTTCCCCATCTCTGGACTTACTGCCTCCTCTCATTAGCACCTCTGATGTGTAGAACTTGCCAGTTTTTTAAAAATTTTTTGTTAATGTGGATGGAGGGAAAAGTCACAGCATGAAGCATAGATCTGGAAACTCAAAGCAAATAGGGACTCTTCAAAACCATGATAAACAGTTTGCTTTACAAGGGCCCGTCACCTACCCATTAAGAGCAATCAAGGAAGTTTAGACAATTAGGAAGGGCATTGGTCCTTCCTTCCTTCTTTAGTCCACCACAGAGATTTCTAATGTTCATAGTGATATCAACCAGCATTGAGCCACTATCAGCAGAAATCAATGGTTTTTGACCCATAAATAAGTTTCTGTCCTATTGTACAGAAGAGCAAAGTGAGATAACAAGATGTGTAGACTTTCCTAGAGTCACCAAGCTAGTGATACTTGGGGAAAATTATATATTTCATAATTTATCTTTGTGACACTATCTTTGTGACTTAGGCCAAGTTATTCAACTTCTCTGTATGTGATTTCCCTCACCTATAAAAAGAGAATAATAAGTAATAGGGTGGTTGGATGAATTTATTGAGAAAATAATCTATTTACAGCCTACAGAAGATCCCTGGGGATATAGGAAACGATTGATAAACTTCAGCAATTGTGATTTGCTGGCTAAAATATAGGTTCTGCCTGATTCTAAAACTTATGCTTTTTTAGTAAGCTGTGATGTTATCTATTTTGTTGTCACTTCATAAATCTTGTGGAGTACTTGAATTAAATTTTTCTGTTAAGCATAAAATTCTAAGGGCATAAAAGGATGCATAATGGTTACATATGTTACCAAGTTTTTTCTTTCTGATTCTCTTTTCCAGATAAATTTCACTTCTCTCAATATCAAATTCTTTCAGAATCTAGCATCTTTTATTCCAGTT